GTGATCCATTGGCATATTGTTACTGGGACGTTTCTCTCTTCTAGAGCCTTGGTTATTGATCTGGTTGAGGCATTGTTAAAAGCTCCTTCAATATCTAAGAAAGTGGCTATTGCAATTTCTTTGTCATCTATTGACTTTGAAAGCAGCCTGTTTAGATCGTCCTGCGCTAGGTCAGTTGAATTTCCGGGCTGGTATGCATATTGGTTGGGATGGAGCGGATTTATTTTTAGTATATCGTCCCTGATATACCTATCTATCAATCTTTCTAGAGTTTTAAGTAGAAAGGAGGATAGGCTTATGGGGCGATATGACTTTGGCGTTTGGTCTGTGACCCTACCTACTTTGGCAAGGTAGACTACTTTCGCCTTTTACCATATTGCTGGGATATATCTCCAAGCAATACATGCTTTGAAGATTTTGCATAAATGTGGCATTAACACGTCTTTTCCCTTCTGGAGCAGAATTGGATATATTCCATCCGGCCCCGGGGATTTGTATGCCTTAAATTTGTTGATAGCCCAACTAATCCTGTGTGGTCTTATGATCTCGGAGGCCAGCTTCCAGTCTATTGGAGTTGGTCTGATCCCCTTGTAATTGTAGCTCTCTTGGTCTCCTGAGTCTAGTCCTGTTAGGATAGTTGAGGCCGGAAAGTGCACCTGAGTTAGTATCTCCAGACTTTCCTCTAGTGTCGTGGTGTAGGTATCATCCTCTTTTTTGAGGAATCCCACTTGACTAGATGTACTGTCTTTGGCTATAACTCTATGGATTCTAGCGCTGGCGGTGGTCTCTGAGACCTCTTCGCAGAACTTTCTCCATGAGTTTCTTTTAGCCTTGCGTACTTGTTATACTCTGTGAGCTTATTTTTATAAGTAGTCCAGTCTCGTGTGGATTTGGCTCTGTTGAATAGCCTTTGCACCTCGTCTCTTAGGCTAGCTAGGTATTTATTCCACCAGACTGTTTTTCTCGTTTGGCATCTCTCTTTTTCGGGACAGTTTTCTTTGTAGGCATTAGTAATTGCCTTGTTTACCAAGTCTACTGTCCTTTCGAGTGTTTTTGTTTCTCGTACATTGGTGGTTTCCTCCTTGAGAGACTCCTCGAGGGATTTTGTGTACCCTTCCCAATTCGTCTCTCTCTGATTTCTAAACCTGTCTACTGTACGAGTTGGACATTGTATATGGAATCGGATATGTCTGTGATCTGAACACGATGGTTCATCGGCCACATGGTCATGTCCAGCTTCTGGAGTTCGATGTATGATCCTTCGTCCACGGAGATGGCCCAAGTTTGGCCTTTCTGCATTGGAGTTGGGGTCAGAACTTTCCAGAGGTTGATTTTAAGGGTGTTGTTGCTGACTCTCAGACTGTTAAGGACTCTTTGGGCATCTAGCCTCTTTCCTCTCTCGTCTACTATGTATGTTGTATATATCCTTGGTTTTGGGATGTCGATGTCCTGCTGAGCCTCGAGGGTTGCACCCTCCCAGGGCCTAAGCGTGGGCACCACGTCGTTTAACCATTGTGCACTAAGGCTGTCTGCACAACGTACTACAATGTATCCCGGCCTGTGTGTGCGTTTGGCAAAACGCACCTGTGTTTCTCACATGGGGATATCTTCGTAGTCACTTATTATAGAGTCTTCAACAGCTGTTTGCTGCTCCGTTTCCATAAGTGCCTCTGGAAAGCCGGTTCTCACCACTGCGATATTTGTGGTGGTAAGGGCCTCTTTGAAGGTTACCCCTTCAATTTTAGCCTTCTTTTCCACTTTCCGATCTGCAGGGGGAGTATGTCCTTTATGTTGGTCTTTTGTTCGACCTGGCTGGCCTCGGTGGTTGAAGTTTGAGGTGGCTTAACTTAGGATCTGACAAAGTTTTCCTTGATTATGCCTCGTTTGACAGCAATGAAATCTTGGCCAGATTTTACCAGGTTGTTTAGCCTTGCTCTCGTTCGACCGGATATGACAAAGAATCTGACTTCTGTGTCTGACATTAGGTAAATCTCCTCTTCGGAGGTGACCCTTCTGGATTTGGGCCTTTTAGATGTTGATGGCACATTTGCCTGGTCAACGTCCGTGGCCTGTTTCGTTGTCTCTGGCACTGCCTGAGATTGCTCTTGTTCGACTACTGCTGGTGGCACATTTGCCTGTTCAGCAGTAGAAGTTTCTGAGTTAGTTTTTGTATTTTCTCTGTCCATATTGTTCCCACGAGTAGCTGGGGAAAGATACGTCAACCCATCCAGAGCCCCGCCTTAGACGGGCAAGCCTACTTACTCGGGGGGCGGCGGCCGGTATCCCGAGGTACTGTTTGACACAGCTGTTTCGATGCAGGCACAGCTGCTTATCATCCCTCGGCACGGTTTACTAACACCTTAGATTAAACCTGGTGTTCGTTCGTCCTTCTCCGGCTAATTCGTCGGCCTTTTCGTTGCCCCGACAGTAAAGCCCATATAACAAAAGATTGTTTCACTGACAATGATGTTTACACTTCGAATGTCAAAGCAAAAGTCTCATAAATACTTTTTACCTTGCCTTAAAGATGTTTTTCGGGAACAATCGTTGAAAATATATAAAAATGTCAAATGTTAGTAATAGGACGCTCTTATATCCGAAACAGGAATAAAAAATGCTATTTTATTTATATCTCGCAACCTATACAATATTAATAAAAGTAATTCGTACTGTCTGATAATAAAACAATTCAATTAAATCAGTCTTTCTTATTATTATTACATATTCGAATTTTAATTAAAAAACTGTAAAATCTACTCGTAATAAAAAAAAATGGATTGAACTTGGTTTCATTAAATCTCGCGTAGGCGTCAAATTTTTAGTTTGTTTCGACTAGATATGGCACGCCACTGGTTTACTGAAAACATTTCGTGTCAATTTTTTAGAACCAACCATTTTGATATTAAAACTATTTGTGTTAAAAAATGTGCAACAATGTCTAATTATGAAATAAAAAAATGGATTTTACTTTTAATTCATTATCTTAATTTTATATTTTTCTGTTTTCCTCCTTAAAATTAATAAAATCCCAACAACCTTAAAGGTTTTAAGGGAGAATAACCTGTTTATTTCGTTTTATTTTACTTACATTTTAATTATTGTAATTTATATTACATACAAATCCCTATATTTTCTCTAATTATACGTTCGTTATTTGTATTTGTAGCTAAATGTTTTCCAAATAATTCGCGTCAACAAACCACATCTGCTCTCATTAAAATCATCTATTATAATCACTTAGGTTTTACCTTAGTGGATAAGTAAATGAAAACTCAAAAACATTCATACTTTCCAATATCTTTAAAATAGTTCAAGCTGCGTCAACTAATGATTAGTACTATTATTATAATTAATGGCTAGGGATATTTATGTATAAATAGATATTGTAACAATAGTAACCACTAAAGATACCATTTTACAATGTAATTGAAATATTCGATCTATTTGTATGACAAAGTAGTTAAATAACAATGAAAAGCAGGTGCGAATTAAAAAGTAATTAAATATCTAGAAAGGCTTAAAGAATAGGTATTGCAAATACCATCAATTATACACTGCCCCAAATATGGCAATTCCCTTTACAGCTTACTAAAATCATACTTGTCAAATAGGTATTTTAGAACTAAATTAATCGATAAATCTTCACAGTTTCAACCAACGAATTCTGGAGTCCCACAAGGCAAGGTCTTAGGGCCACTATTGTATTTAATATACACGTCAGACCTACTAATTTCTGATTATACCACAACAGGTGCGTTTACAGATGACACTGTTATTATTGTAATCCATGAAAATTTTATACTAGCAAGAATTGGTTTATAAATTATAAGCTGACGACTATGTAGAAAAATAAAAATTTTGCTTTTCAGTCTATCCTTTAATTAAAATATAAATAAATAAACAAAAAATGATTCGGTTTACAAAAGTCTGTGGCAACAAAAACTACGTTTAGATGCCAATTCTCAAAAAAAAACAAAAAAAAAAAAAGTCTTGTGGCGAACACAGTAGACATTTGTCGATGAAAAGTAGTCAAAAATCTTTTTATTATTTTGTAATAATCTGTAAGCTGACTAAAGACGATGATGCACAATGGGTCTAAGTGCTGTGGAACAACCCACCCTCCACACGTTACAGATATAGACAGTTTATAATACCTTTAAGATTCTATAATTATTTTACAAATATATGGTTTGTGAATAAATAATTGCAGATAAACCTAAATAAAGCATTTTAAAAAATTTCCCAGTACGTCATTAAACTGCAACTATTAGGCAAATTTATGTATGATAAGACGAGTTAAAAGTGAATAATTGTTTTATTTTTGTTTTCTCGAAACAAATTGTTTTTTAAGTGTGCATTGAAACATTATTTGCAAAATATTAACAGAGATAGATATATCAAGGTTAAATACTTTCAAAATGTGTTTGTTTTGAATTTGTTTATAACGGAAAATAATCTATTAACAAAAAGGAACAGTTAAATAATTGCTATTTAAACTTTTTAGATATGGAAAAATGTTAATGAATTTTTTTTTTGCTATTTTTGGATCAAAATATCTACAGAATTATAACTTGTTACCAAAGAAGGAACTTATTTTCTTCATTGATAAAATAATAACAATTATTTAGTAATATCTTTATTCGTATTTTATAATATAAAAGTTTAACCTCAATACATTCATAACAGTTTTAAAATGTCTTGCTTCAATCACACCCAAGTCAGATTCATTTTTTTTTAATTTATTTATCTTCATACTTACAATCTACAAAATAATAAGTAAATTTAAATAGTTTAAAATGACATGGGTAGAGTGATAAACCATTGACCATTCTCCAAGAACACCACCTTTTGGTTATTTTGAGTTAAAATACGTTCATCTCTTGTCTTAGGTCCTTAAACCACAAACTTCCAAGTTTCCTCTTTGCCTCTGTAATTGATTATTTCTAAGATCAAATTTACCACTAAAATGATACGGAACACCCAGTATATTAAGCTAACCATTCTCTTTCAACTCCCATCACCCTGACGTTCCGATCTGACTTAAGTCAAATTTCTCCTTTATGTTGTTGCAGGGTTGTGAGGTTCATCAAAGACACAATCGTGGATCGTTCAAGCTATGGCCCCGTCCCATTCTCGTCAGTTGCTAGTGTGGACATTGCCAACAGTTGCCGCTCTACTCAGCTATTTGTGGTTCAAAAGGAAGAGAATTGGTGCTCGAAGTGACCCAGGCGAAAACAGTTCAGAAGCCGAAGAGAAGGGCGTTCAAACCGAACAGGCGAAGTCGGCGGATATTGTAGAAGACATTGACGGTGGTGATTCGTCGCCGTCTAGTCCTAATAAGACTTTCTCTAGATCGTTGTCCGGTGTGGAATCCACGCCGATCGATATTATCATACCCCCCGAGCTCAGAGCCACTAAATCTACATCAAGAATCGTTTCCGATGAAGAATTAGACTTGGAAATCGAGAAAATCAAATCGATGAAGAACGGAGCCTTGTTTACCACCAAACCGGATTCCCCTCACGTTTTAATAGCCTCATCAAAATCTACCGGCAAAGAACACAACAGTAAACCTTCAAAAAAGAAAGCATCCAAGAAGGAATCTGGTAAGATGGCTCAAAAAGATATAGCCATCGTCGAAGAGAAGTTGACCAGTTTGAAGGTGAAGAATAACAAGGAGGTGCATAAGAAGAGAGATAATAAGAATAGTAAGAATAATGCAAATAAAGAGAACGAGGATATATTGCAAAGACAAAACAGCGAAAGAGATTCGGCTAATCACAGTCCGTCGGACGTGATGCTGGCCAGTCCTTCTTTGAGCAGCATTTCAGATAATCATAGCGAGGTGAGTAAATTTATATTTTTTTTATAACCATTTAGAGAGATATTATTTATTTTTTAACTCGATGTGTATCCTACAATAAGCAGTAGCGCTGCGTTAACAAGTTAACTATATAGGGGTCTATTCTGTAACAATTCCTTTATATTTAACGGCCTTTAAAAATATTGGCGGCCTTTAAAAATAGTTTCGTATTCGTTAATTTACTTCTATCATTATTTAAACAGATTTCTTTAAGATAGTCCTCTAATGTATTTTAAAGATCCGTTTAAATAATGACAGAAGTAAAGGAGAAAATATTTTTAAAGGCCGTTAAATATAAAGGAATTGTTACAGAATAGACCCCAATGTCTGTCAAATTGATCGGCATTTACAAGTATGCAATAGCGGTCATATGAGCCGGCAACATATTCGGAAACCGCCGACACGTTAGATGCTCGTATCAGTTCGGTATCGAGAATAACAGTCTCGTAAAATTGCGACGTCGGCCATCTTGCGAATACGAGTTATCAGGCAATTGTATATTTAGCAAAAGTAGATATTGTCGCATACATATTTTTAAATTATGCAACAAACATTTAATGATAGCTATTAAGATACGTATGTGAGAATTACGACGTAACTAACACAAGAGTCTTAATAGCCAATAAATGTGAGTTTCATATATTATTTTTTCTGCGAACATCAATTCATAATAATAGGGAAAAATAAGAATATATAGTCATTATATTCAAAAAACAAACGCAAACAAAACAGACAAATACAAACAAAATACCAACTAATAAAAAAAACAAACAAAAACAAACCAAAACAAATCAAAACATGCAAAAAAAATTGCAAAAACTAGTGATGAGCCAAACAAGACGAAGATTAAGATTGGGTTGGTCTTGCGCACTCGGCCTTGGTCTTGCAAGCCTTCAGCTGGTCTTGGTCTTGCACATCTAGGTCTTGGTCTTGCTGCAAGAGTCTTGCGAGTCTTGCGAGTCTTGCATTTTTTGGTAAATCTTAAATACTGCTACTTTGTACACAAAAAACGTGTTGTTGTTTTGTGAATTCTAGTATTGTACAACATTAATTAGTAATTTTTATATACTGTACACTTGAATACGAAAAAAGAATAAAAGCTTAATTTTTTCGAAACGTAGTATATAAAAAAAACAATAAAATATGTGGCTTAATTCCCAACAATTGGATATTTATTTATATTTAACATATTTTGTGTATTCTTTTATTTGAAATATTTTTTTTTTGCATATCCAACAATCCAATAAAAAACAAAAATTGTATTCTTAAATCAACAAAAACTGCGACCGATAATTGAACCTGGATCTTCCAGACGTATAAAAAACATACAAAAACATACAAAAACATACAAAAACATACAAAAACATACAAAAACATACAAAAACATACAAAAACATACAAAAACATACAAAAACATACAAAAACATACAAAAACATACAAAAACATACAAAAACATACAAAAACATACAAAAACATACAAAAACATACAAAAACATACAAAAACATACAAAAACATACAAAAACATACAAAAACATACAAAAACATACAAAAACATACAAAAACATACAAAAACATACAAAAACATACAAAAACATACAAAAACATACAAAAACATACAAAAACATACAAAAACATACAAAAACATACAAAAACATACAAAAACATACAAAAACATACAAAAACATACAAAAACATACAAAAACATACAAAAACATACAAAAACGTACAAAAACGTACAAAAACGTACAAAAACATACAAAAACATACAAAAACATACAAAAACATACAAAAACATACAAAAACATACAAAAACATACAAAAACATACAAAAACATACAAAAACATACAAAAACATACAAAAACATACAAAAACATACAACAACATACAAAAACATACAAAAACATACAAAAAAATAAAAACATACAGAAAATACCAAAAACAAACAAACGAAAAAGCAAGTTTCAACGTCCAATGATGTACTTGATCAAAACTTTTAAAGAGCCAAACCCCTTTAAAATACATTTAAATTCGTCTCAATTCTAGATGATTTCTCTTAAATTCTTCAATTCCCGCCAATTTCTCGTAAAATACCTCAAATGTCTCGTAAATTCCACGAAATACCCTTTCCTTATACACTTACTTTCACTGCAGTTTACTCCTCGGAATATTATTACGTTGACTTTCCAATGTCTAACCCATGTATTGTCTTTTGCACGCTGATATGTGTGCATAGAGTAAGAAGGAAAGCCCGCTCATGCGACACGTCGCGCGCGACTGATTGCGGGGCATCGCGCGCGGCAATACTTTAGATGTTTTTAAATGTTTTCAAAGCCCATTAACGCGGTTCTGTCGCGTAGTCGCACGCGGCTGTAAATTAGAAATAAGCCCGCGATTTTCCTGCCGCACGCGGTCAGCGTTATCATGGATACATATGAAGCATCACTCATACAAACGTCAAGTCGCGTGCGAAACGTCAGTTGAGAGTTGGAGTTTCCTGTTAACTTTTACACAGTTCCAGTAAAAAAATGTCCGACAGTTGTATTGATATAGATGAATTTATATCCGATATGCAACACCAACCTCAAATATTGAACAGTTAATTGAAATAAAATAGCGAAAAAATATTTGTTCGGGAATCTGCTCTAGCAGTTCGCTAAATGAAACTACTCTCATTCTGCAATGTTTAAAGAAATTATCTTCGTGTTGACGTAAATCCTTATATAATAAATTAATTGCGCCTTTTACATAAGGGTCTATAAATAATGGATGAACCCAGTACCTGCGTCGTTTCAATTTTTTCCTCTGACGAACAGAATAAAACAACACCGTTGCTACTTTTCCACCTCTATTTTGATACTGTCGCTTCTTGTAGTCTGTTAAAAATCGAACCTTAAAAATCGCATGCGGCAGGTCGCGCGCGATATGTTGCGTAAGTGGGCTTTCCCTCTATTGCAGGTCATAAATAGCAGGGTGTTTTGCTCTAGCTTCAATAAGTTTTTCATCTTCCAATGCTGGAAAGTTTAGCTTCGGCGTCACGATTTTATTCGACTTTATGCACATAAATGTTCTGAAACACATACAATAAACAGCACGTGCGCGAGAACCGTCTATGTTACACTTTCACGTCAAAAATGTCAAACTCAAGATAAAACAATTAATTTTTTTCAAGAATGTGATTTTTTTCATACACCGTTGTTAAGAGGCTTCCAAGACCTTACAAATGAAGTATCACTCAACCCCTCATCCCTATTTTATTTTTAGGGGTTGAAGCGCCCCCTCATATGGGGTTGCTCGTTCAAGCCTCAAATATACGTCAAAAGATGTCCCCCAAAGAAAATCTTCCGACATATTTCGGGAAATTTTTCCAATTACTATGGGATAAGAAATATACGGGGTGGCTCGTCTGAGATGGAACACCCTGTATAAATATCATTTTGTCATTTTTTTTTGTGTCCAAATTTGTTTGTCATGTGTTAAAAATGGATGACTATTGTTGGATTTTTAGAATTCAATTTAACTTTCCTCATTCTTGTAAAAGAATCGATATATTATATTTTAGGTTTGTTCCAACAACGATCTTGGAACAATACATAAACCAGTCCAAGACTTATTGTTGACAATCTGTCGACGACTAGTAATTGACAACCTGTCAGGTACTGGTCGGGGATTGGGACTCAACTGGGAACTCGATTATGTTGGAACACATTTTTTAAATTCAACAGACGCACTATTAGAATAATAAACCACAACATAAAATAAATGATAATGAACAAAAACTATGAAGACTAAACTCGATTACCAAATATAAATCAGAACTGTCAGAGACAATAGATACAAATAATATAATTACAATCACAAAATGTTTAGTTTATTGCGACTTTGCGCATGTCTTGACAATTCGTTCCTATTCAGACCTGAGAACTGATTTGGCAGTACACAAATCGGTGTGTGATTAGTTTTGGTTGTGTTGGATCACTATGTTTTTGTACAGTTTTGAGTCTAAGATTTGTTGGAACACGAATTCTAGACTGCGCAGAATCCCGACAGTACGCAAACTGATTTGGTTTATGTTGGAACAAACCTTTAGTAAATAAATAATTGAATCGGGTATTGATATTTTCTAATTACAAATTATGTTTGCTGATTACATTCTTTCATTTATTTCATCATCAAGGTTATCTTTACTATTAATTATTCTAGGTTAAATATTATGTATTTCAAATAATTAACTTCCTTCCACTTCACTATTAATCTATAAAAATTAATTACACACAATTGTAAGCACGCTTGTTAAATCTATCAATACCTAATCATGCCATAATATCATTAAACGGAACTGTCTGAATGACATGAACGTCCAATTAATTACAGTTTAAACATCTGTCAAAATTTATCAGGTTACTAAATTTTAATAAACGTTGCAACCGACTGTTTGTCCATTAAATTTAGCCATTTCAATATTTTATTATTTGCTGTGTCTCAGTTTAATATATTTGTTTGATATTCTTGACCTTATTTAAGGCCTTTTCGGTACTATTTAATGCCTCATTGACTCTAATAAGGTCTTTGCAGTGTAACTATTAAATAATGTATATTATACATTCTTTAGATGACTCCCTATGAGGGCGTCTCTAGTCAATTTGAGGCCTTCTAAACTCCATTTAAGGCCTTCCCGACTCCATTTAAGGCCTTTCAGGCTCCATTTAAGGCCTAAGACCTTTCAGACCAGATTTAAGGCCTAAGACCTTTCAGACCAGATTTAAGGCCTTACACACTCCATTTAAGGCCCTCCAGGCTCTATTTAAGGCCTTTCAGGCTCCATTTAAGGCCTTCCACACTCCATTTAAGGCCTTGTTGACTGTAATAAGAACTATTAAATAACGAAAATTGATCAACTAATTTTTTATTCTTGATTTAACTCCCTTTAAGGCCTTCTTAACTTCCTTTGAAGCATTCTTGATTTAATTTAATGTTCTCTTGACTCTAATAAGTCTTTTTCAGTATACCTATTACAAAATTTATTTGATATTCTCGATTTGACTCCTTAAAAACTTTTATGTCTTCCTCTTAGGCCTTCTTAACTTCATTTAATGCATTCTGGACTTTATTTAATCAATTCTTGACTTTATATGACGTCTTCTTGACTTGAGTAACTAAATTTGAGGTATTTATGTAATATTCTAGTTGTGACTCATTTTAAGATCTCATTTTAGTCATTTTTGACTTCATTTAATGCATTATTAATCAATTTAATGCCTTCTTGACTCTAATAAAGTCCTAGCAATCTAACTAGCTATTAAATAACCAAAATTAATGATTTGGACTCCTTGTGAGACCTAGCCTCCATTTAATGCATTCTTGACTTAGTTTAATGTATTTCTTGACTAATAAGACATTTGCTTTGTAACTAACTAAAATGAACAGGGCCGCCGAGAGCCAGACTGGGCCCCAGGACAATTCTCCAGATCGGGCCCCGCGACAATTTTATCAAAAAAAAAGGTAATCAAAGTCCTCCTCTTTCTTAAAAAAAAAATGTCTTGAAGTAAGAATTTCCCCCCTCTTGTGTCGAACTGCTGAAAGTAACAAACACCGCCGCTGCCGGGTCCCCATTTGAGCCCGGGCCCCGGGAATTAGTCCCGGCTGCCCTCCCCTCTAGTCGGCCCTGAAAATGAATGTATTTATTTGATATTCTAGACTTGACTCGTTTAAATGCATTATTGACACAATTTAAGGCATTCTGGACTTCACTTAATGTCTTCTTGACTCTGATAAGGCATTGGCAGTGTAACTAACAAACATTTAAGTATTTATTCTAGACATGACTGCCTCTAAAGCATTCTAGACTCCATCTAAGACATCCTTGGGTTCATTTAATGCATTCTTGGCATCATTTATTGCATTCTTTGCTTCATTTATTGCATTCTCTGCTTCATTTATTGCATTCTTTATTAATATGTAATATCCTCTTGTCAGTAATAAGACATTTTCTTTGTAACTAATTAAATTTGATGTATTTGTAAATTTGACTCATTTTAAGGCCTTCTTGGTTAAATATAAGGCATTTTTAGCTTCATTTAATGCATTCCTAACTCATTTAATGTCTTCTTGACTTTATTAAGGTCCTAGCAATCTAACTAGCTTTAAATCACCAAAATCGATTAATTATTTAATATTCTCGATTTCTTTTAATGCGTTCTTGACATTATTTAAGATATTCTGGACTTCATTTTGTCTCCTTGACTCTGATAAGGCATTGGCAATGTAATTAACAAAAATTAATGATTTTTATTATATTCTAGACATGATTCCCTTTAAGGCCTTGTAGACTGCATGTAAGGCATTCTTGGGTTTATTTAATGCATTCTTGATTTCATTTATTATATTCTTGAAATCATTTAGTGCGTTCTTGACTTTATTTAATGCCTTCTTGACTTTATTTCATTCATTCTTAACTTCATTCGTTTCTTAACTTCATTCAAAGCATTCTAGACTTGACTTCCTCTAATGATTTCTTGGCTTTATTTAATGCATTCTTAACTTCATATAATGCATTCATTAACTTCATTTAATGACTTCTTGACTTTAATACGGTCCTAGCTATTAAATAACTAAAATTAACGTATTTATTTGATATGCTTGACCTAACTTCTTTTAAGGTCTTCATGACTCCATTTAAGGCCTTCGTGACTCCATTTAAGGCTTTCGTGACTCCATTTAAGGCCTTTGTGACTCAATTTAAGGCACTATTGAATGCATTTAAAGGCATTATAAATCTCGTGTAATAAAACATTTGCCGTGTATATAATTTTTAAAAACGCAAATTGATGTATTTGATATTATTAGGTTGACTCTTTAAGGTCTTTTTGACTTAATTCAATACTTTTTTGGTCCTATTAAACTCCAGTTAAGATATTTTTGGCTTTTTTTTTATAAACTTCCCGTTTTGTAATTTACGTTAAAATATGTACGACGCCGCTGCTGCGCTGATAAATAAACATAGGAAATTATACAACTGTTTTTAAACTTTTTACATTCATGCGAAAATGCATTTAACCATATCTACATTTCCCCCACCAAGGCTTGCATATACCTACCGCGTATCACCCACTATTAAAAACTTACATAGCCCGTAAAGGATGATAAGAATTTTGGTTGGTTTTAGCAGTTTTTTTTTAAACAGCGTTGTTCGGGAGTGGAAATTTGTCGGCAGATTTTATGTAGTTGGTGACGTTATTTGAGAGGACATATGGCGAGGAAGAAAACCTTTGTCGAGGGAATAGATCCTGAAAGAAGACAGGTTGTTTTTTAATTTTTTTATCGTAAAGAAATTCTAGATATTTTTTTTACCAAAGAAGATAATTCGTACATACTAAAATTTCAGTGACATTGATGTAAATGCTTTACTAATTATACACTGGGAAACGTCTCATCGTGTGGACCAACGGACCTTTTGAATTTGACATTTCTGGGTCTAGCTGTGAGGGCTGTGGCTTGCTTTCTAGGACATTAGTCGATTAGGAACTTCATCATCATCCATTCCTTCAATCTTTAGTATATGGCTAGCTCACAAGGCGTTTAAAATTCATTTGTTCATGTGGATTACTCCATATGTTATTTTTTCTCCATTCCTCTCTTTTTTTTGGCATTTTCAAGCTGTTATTCCTAATATTTTCGTGTCATCTTTTATCGCCACTTCTCCTCGGTCTTTACCTTCTTTTTGTCCACACTGGGATCTATTGTGTTATTCGTTTTAACAATTTTGTTGGGTTTCTCCTCATGGTATGTCTTTCCCATTTTAGACACAATACTTTTATGTACCTTATGATGGTTTCACACCCTAATTTATAATTAATTGCTTTATTGATTTATATTAACCTTTCTTCTTTTTCTTATCTTATTAATCTTCCATTAACGTCTTATTAATGTCTCATACATTCTTATTAATGTCCTGTATATCTTTATTTTAGTTTTTTGGTAACTTTATTTTTCAGTTAATTTCTTTTACACCAATGGCTTGGTGTTCTTTAAGGATCTTTTCTTTTACTTGTTCCATTAATGGTTGCCCTATTATTATTCCTAGATGGTTGAAAGAGGTGATACTCTTGACTTTTTTAGTAAGATTTTTGACGTTTGTGACAATTTTGACGTTTTAGTGGCATTTTTTAGGTTTTAAGTAATATTCGATTTTTATGTTTAAGTGACGTTTTAAGTGATATTCTTGACGTTTTTAGTAAGCTTTTTGACATTTTTAGTAAGATTCTTGATGTTTGTGACATTTTTAACGTTTAATGACACATTTTGGCGGTTTCCAGTGATATTTTCACGTTTTGAGTGATATTTTTTTAGGTCTACGTCACATTTTGACGTATTAAGCGATGTTTTTGATGTTTAAGTGACGATTTGACGTTTTCAGTAAAAATTTGACGTTTAAGTGACATCTTTGATTTTCCGAAAGTCATTTTTGAGGTTTAAGTAATATTTTTAGGTTTTAAATATTTTAACATTTGAAGTGATATATTTACGCCTGCGTCACAATTTGACGTGTTATGCGACGTTTTTGATGTTTAAGCGATATTTTGACGTTTTCAGTGATATTGAAAGAGGTGACTTGAGTGACTTCAGTAAGATTCTTGACGTTTTTTAGTGAGACTCTTGACTTTTTCAGTAAGATTTTTGACGTTTGTAACAATTTTGACGTTTTAGTGGCATTTTTTAAGTGATATTTTAACGTTTGGTGTTATATTTTTTACGTTTACATCACATTTTGACGTTTTATTCGACGATTTTTATGTAAAGTGACGTTTTCAGTGATATTCTTGACGTTTTTAGTAAGCTTTTTGACATTTTTAGTAAGATTCTTGCCGTTTATGACATTTTTGACGTTTAAGGGACATTTTGGCGGTTTCAAGTGATATTTTAACGTTTTGAGTGATATTTTTTACGTCTACGTCACATTTTGACGTATTAAGCAATGTTTTTGATGTTTAAGTGGCGATTTGACGTTTTTAGTAAAAATTTGACGTTTAAATGACATCTTAAATTTTTAGAAAGCCATTTTTGAGGTTTAAGTAACATTTTTAGGTTTTAAATGATATTTTAACGTTTGAAGTGATATTTTTTAAGTCTGCGTCACATTTTGACGTGTTATGCGACGTTTTTGATGTTTAAGCGATGTTTTGACGTTTTCACTGATATTGAAAGAGGTGACTTGAGTGACTTCAGTAAGATTCTTGACGTTTTTTTTTTTAGTGAGACTCTTGACTTTTTCAGTAAGATTTTTGACGTTTGTGACAACTTTGACGTTTTAGTGGCATTTTTTAGGTTTTAAGTGATATTTTAAAGTTTGGAGTTATATTTTTTACGTCTACATCACATTTTGACGTTTTATGCGACGATTTTTATGTTTAAGTGACGTTTTCAGTGATATTCTAGACGTTTTTAGTAAGCTTTTTGACATTTTTAGTAAGATTCTTGGGGAGTGTGACATTCTTAACGTTTAATGAGACATATTGGCAGTTTCAAGTGATATTTTTTACGCCTACGTCATGTTTTGACGTATTAAGCGATGTTTTTGATGTTTAAGTGGCGATTTGACGTTTTCAGTAAAAATTTGATGTTTAAGTTACATCCTTGATTTTGCGAAAGACATTTTTGAGGTTTAAGTAACATTTTTAGGTTTTAAATGATATTTTAACGTTTGAAGTGATATTTTTTACGCCTGCGTCACATTTTGACGTGTTATGCGACGTTTTTGATGTTTAAGCGATGTTTTGACGTTTTCAGTGATATTGAAAGAGGTGACTTAAGTAAGATTCTTGTCGTTTTTTTAGTGAGACTCTTGACTTTTTTAGTAAGATTTTTGACGTTTGTGACATTTTGACGTTTTAGTGTACATTTTTGACGTTTAAGTAACATTTCTAGGTTTTAAATGATATTTTAACGTTTGAAGGGATATGTTTTACGTCTGCGTCACGTTTTGACGTTTTCAGTGATGTTCTTGACGTTTTTAGTAAGCTTTTTGACATTTTCAAGTGATATTTTGTCATTTTGACTGATATTTTTACGCATACGTCACATTTTGACGTATTAAGCGATGTTTTGATGTTGTAAGTTGCGTTTTGACGTTTTCATTAAAAATTTGACGTTTAAGTGACATCAATGTCTCGTCATCATTGATATATAATTAAGTGATATTTAAGTGACATTTTACAGGAGAGCAAAAAATTTTTTAATGTTTTGAGTCCCTTTAATAAACATTGTTAATTACTTAAGAGATTTACATTGCGACAGCTTTTTTATTTTGTTTCCAATACTTCGACCTTTTTAAAGCTGTAACTCAGATCTTTTTTTTTTTTTTTCACGAACTAGTTCAGAATGAAGTGAATTACTCAATAGGTTGGTTGTTATAACTTCGCGATGTGATGTTTTTTTTTATTATATTTTTTTTTTGACTACTTCATTTAATGTCTTTTGACTTTATGTAATGTCTTCTATATAAATAACGAAAATTTATGTATTTGACTTCATTTAATGCATTCTTAACTTCATTCAATGCATTCTAGACTTGACTTCATCTAATGACTTCTTGGCGTCATTTAATGCATTCTTGACTTCGTTTATTTAATTCCTGACTTCATTTAAATAATTCTTGACTTCATTTAATGAGTTATTGACGTCATTTAATGAGTTCAGAAATGTATTTAATATCTTCTTGATTCTAATAAAGATATTGCAGTGTGACTGACGAAAATTTATGTGGTTATTTAATATACATTTATTTTGACTACTTTAAGGCCTGGAATTCATTAAGGCGTTCCTAACTTCATTTAATGCATTTTAACTTCATTTAATGTATTTTTACTTCATTTAATGCATTTTAGCTTCATTTAAATCATTTTTGACTTTATTTAATGCCGTCTTGACTTTATTTCATTCATTCTTAACTTTACTCAATGCATTTTAGACTTGACTTCATCTAATGACTTCTTGGCTTCATTTAATTATTATTGACTTCTTTTAATGGGTTCCTGACTTCCTTTAATGAATTCTTGACTTCATTTAATGCATTCTTTACTTCATTTAATGCGTCATTTAATGCGTTATTGACTTTATTTAATGCGTTCTTGACTTTATTTAATGCGTTCTTGACTTCATTTAATGCTTTTTTGACTTAATGCGTTCTAAAATTCATTTAATTTCTTCTTTATTATAATAAAGAATTTGCATTGTGATTACTGAAAATTTATGTAGTTATTTGATATTATAAATTTATTTTGACACTTTTAAGGCCGGGAATCCATTTAGGCGTTCCTAACTTTATTTAATGCATTTTAACTTCATTTAAAGCATTTTTGACATCATTTTATGCATTTTTGACTTCATTTTATGCATTTTTGACTTTACTTTATTTAGTCTTTACTTCATTCAATGCATTCTAGACTTGACTTCTTCTAATGACTTCTTGGCTTCATTTAATGCATTATTGACTTCATTTTATGCATTTTTGACTACTTTATTCAGTCTTCATTCAATGCATTTTGGACTTGACTTCCTCTAATGACTTCTTGGCTTCATTTAGTGCATTCTTTACTTCATTTAATGCATTTTTGACTTCATTTAAAGCATTTTTGACTTCATTTAATGCTTTCCTGTACTTCATTTAATGCAGTTTTGAGTTCATTAAATGCTTTTATGACTTTATTTAATACGTTTTTGACGTCATTTAATACACTCTGGATTTAATTTAATGTCTTCTTGACTAACGAAAATTGATATATTTGATATTCTTTACTCTCTTTAAAGCCTTCTTGACTTCGTTTCGCTTATTGTGAACTTCATTTAATGTATTATTGACTTTAATGCAATATGTTTAATGTTTTCTAGAATAATGACATTTGAAGTGAAACTAACGAAAATTGCTATTATAAATTGTTATTCTAGACTTGACTCCCTTTAAGACCTTTTATATTCTATTGAGGTGTCATTCTTGGCTTCATTTAATTCATTATTGACTTCCTGACTATATCTTTGCAGTATAACTATTAAATAACGAAAATTGATGTAGTTATGTATTTTTGAAAAATGAATTCGTCAATTGCCTTTGTCAACTGGAATCGACGGTTCAATTGGAACCAGTACAGCGAATAACATGATTTTTTTAATAGGGTTCGAGCGACAGCGGCAAAGGGGGCAGCGACGTCGCAACCCCACCCCCGTCTCGCATCCCCGGCATCAGCGTATCCTCCAACGTGCCGACCTTCTACGAGTTCATCCTTCACCAATCGCTGGTGGGGAAATTGATTGGAAGACACGGCTGTTTCGTTACCCAAATCAAGGACAAAACGAACGCCATGATCATAGTCAGATCGCATCCCAACAACGGCAAATTGAAGGTTTGCTCCGTCGAAGGTACCAAAAGCGAGATCGAAAACGCTTTGAAGATGATCAGGGATAAGTTCCCGCTCAAAAGGTATCCCGAAGTGACTTTGGAACAAGTGGATTTGACGCCTGAAGTACCGACGGTGTCTTTGATCCCAGATCACTTATATGTAAGTATAATTATTTATTTCACTTGGGAAACTTTCTATTATTTTAGACTATAATCAATTACCCTTTATGTAAGACAATCGACTAACATTACGGTTATGTTTTAGTTAAAACTAATAGAAGGCATCAACAACGACACAGTCCTGAGCTGTCTCGTCGCTCCCAACCACCTGTTCCTCCAACAACCCACGCATCCCTCCTTCCCCAGTCTCAATATACTCACCAATTGCATGAACGCGTGCTACTCCCAAGCCGAATCACCCCTTCTACCCACCCCTATTACAGAAAACACGCTGTGCGCAGCGTATTCGGTCCACGCGTGGTACAGAGCGATAGTGCTGTCATCTGACACCGAAACCGATACGTCGTATGTCAAATTTTTGGATTACGGTGGATTCGCGTACGTGGAGAACTCCAAACTTCGACAGATCAGAGGGGACTTCATGTTGCTTCCCTTCCAGGCAGCCGAGTGCATGTTAGCTAATGTTAAATCTTTAAATGGTGAGTTATTATACTGTTATTCTGCTGGCGTTACAGTAATTACCTGTAATTTGTTTATTTGCATGATGTTCTTTACGATATTGTCTTGTGGCTGCAGAAAAATTGAAAGGAATAGGGAGTTGAATATGTTGTATCGAATTTGTCTAGGTGTTTCAAGTGTCTCCTAGAAGATAGGACTAATGATCGATAAAAGATAACTTAGATCTGTCATTTTCTGTCCATCTTCTGTCAGTTTCTGTCCATCTTCTGTCAGTTTCTGTCCATCTTCTGTCAGTTTCTGTCCATCTTCTGTCAGTTTCTGTCCATCTTTTGTCAGTTTCTGTCCATCTTCTGTCAGTTTCTGTCCATCTTCTGTCAGTTTCTGTCCATCTTCTGTCAGTTTTTCTAACCAGCATTGGGCGCTGCGTTTTTTTTTCGACAGTTACAAACAATACTGTTCAGATGTTGACAAGGCATTTTTAATGTTTTGAGTGAATTTTTTGTTTAAACGAAGTTTTGACGTTTGTTTGACATTTTTGATGCTTTAAGTAATATTTTTAATGTTTATATAGAATTTTTGTTGATTTGATTGACATTTTTGATTTAAGTTATATTTTTAACGTTTACATGTAATTTTTGATGTTTCATTGACATTTTTTTTTTGTTTTGATTGACATTTTAATATATTGAGTGATATTTTTAATGTTTTGAGTGACATTTTTGATGTTTCAAACGGCATTTTAAATGTTTTAAGCAACAGTTTTGACGTTTACTTGACTTTTTTGATGTTTTAAGTGACGATTTTTTTTACTTTTAAGTGACAATGTTTACTTTTAAGTGACAATTTTTACTTTTAAGCGACATTTTTATGTTTCAAGTGATATTTTTGTTGTTTAAGTAACATTTTTGATGTTTAAATTACATTTCTCACGTTAAGTAACATTTGTGATGTTTCAATTACATTTTTGAGTGACGTTTTTGACAATTAGGTGACTTGTTTTGATGATCCAGTGACTTTTTATACGTTTCAAGTAACATTTTTGACGTTTAAGTGACATTTTTGATGAATTTTTTATGTGTGACGTTTGATGAATTTTTTACGTGTGACATGTTTGATTTTGACATGACATTTTTAATATTTTAAGTAATTTTTTTGTTTAAATAAAGTTTTACTTTGACATTTTTGATGCTTAAATAATATTTTTAATGTTTACATGTAGTTTTTGTTGATTTGATTTACATTTTTATGTCTAGAGTGACATTTTTGATTTAAGTAATATTTTTAACGTTTACATTTAATTTTTGACTTTCATTGACATTTTTTTTGTTTTGATTTACATTTTAATGTTTTGAGTGATATTTTTAATGTTTCAAACGATGTTTCAAAGGTTTTGACGTTTAATTGACTTTCTAGATATTTTAAGTGCCAATTTTTTACTTTTAAGTGACATTTTTGAAGTTTAAGCGAGTTTTTGATTCTTAAGGAATTTTTGAGGTATAAATGTTTTTTTTTTTTTTTTTTTTAATTTTAAGTGACATTTTTTTTAACTTTTATGTAACATTTTTGATATTTTGGCATTTAAGTGAAGTTTTTGATATTTTAAGTAGCATTTTTGGCATTTAAGTGAAATTTTTTGTTTTTAAGTGACTTTTATTTTACATTACATTACATTTTTTACATTGTGACATTTTTGATGTTTAAATTACATTTTTGAGTGACATTTTTGACATTTAGGTGATTTTTTTGACGATCTCGTGACATATATGTTTCAAGTAACATTTTTAACGTGACATTTTTGATTAATTTTTTACGTTACATTTTTGATGTTGAATGGTTTGATGGTTTAAGTAAATTTTTGAGTGACGTTTTTGACATTTAGGTTACTATTTTGACGATCAAGTGATATTTTATACGTTTCAAGTGACATTTTTGATGATTTTTTTACGTGGGACATTTTTGATGTTTTAAGTGATATTTTTGATGTTTTTAGCTACCAGCTTTGGCGTTTATTTTACTTATTCTTTGATGGTTGAGTGGTCAAGGGGTTTCCGTTTGTATAATAGATATTGAAGGTTCAAACCTGCCGGAGCAAATTTTTTTTCTGTTTGTTTTTATCCTTGGGCTAAATTTTCATTTGATTTATTCTGTGGAAACTTTGATTACAAATGCAATTAACTAATTTCAGAGGACGGATCCTGGCCCGAAGAGGCGTATAATTTAATAGCAGACGTCGCAAAAGGTTCGATAATGTACACACAAGTAGCAGACTATACCAGTGACGGAATTCCACTAGTATTAATATACGCAGTCATAGGAACTCAGGTAATTATATTTTTTTGTCAGTATTTAACAATTTTCATTTGTAACGCTGTTATCGGTGCGGTAAGTATCGCTTTACCGCACGGGGTTTTGTTAGAATAGTGCCAAAAATGGGAAATATCAACTTTTATTTCTACAAGTTAAATAATTGTATTAGCCCTAAAGTAAAACAAACGCGTTTAAAAATGTTCGTGTGTGGTAAACACCTTCTTACCATACTTCGCTGGTTTGCAAGAATAATGACGCAATTAAAAATAGTCGATTTTACACTATGACATTTTAAAATTTATTTATAAATGTTTTATTGCATAAATATGTAAAAATGTAAAATTAAAAATAATTATCACAGGCCTTCTTCAGACATGTGTCATTATTCTTGAGATTATGAATTATAAAAAAGTAACTTATGTTGTTGACTATATTTAAAATAATTGAGCCGTACAAAAAACAAAATACGTACAATATTATTTAAAAATTAGATTAAATTATATATCTAAAACAAAAGAAGAAAATTTCGAAATATGTCAATATTCTTAAAAAAAAAAAATTACTCGAATTATAGAGGTTTAACGCTAAAAGCGTCTGTGTTTTTACAAATCAAGTTTTGACATCGACGGTGTAACTGAAATGAGTCCATATTCATTAGACACATTCGACTTGTTTGTGTCAATTGAATAATGACGCTATCGCTGTTTAGCAATCGTTGGCCATAATTCGGCATTCGCTCATTTTTCATAATAAAATATAAGTGATTTCTTTTCTTTTTGTAAATTTAGTTCAATTTTGAAATTTTTTTAATTGCGTCAGTATTCTCGCAAACCAATCTATCTAGTTTCCATTTCGCGAAAGTTGACAATAATTTGGCATTCTAGTTTTTCATGATAAAATATGATTTATTTTCTTTCTGTATACTTAGTTCAATTTTGAAAAAATTTTAATTGCGCCAGTCTTTTCGAAAACCAGCGAATTTTTCATGATAAAATATAAGTTATTTATTTTCTTTTGGTATACTTAGTTCAATTTTGATTGTTTTTTAATTGCGTCAGTATTCTCGCAAACAAATGATTTGTAATCTAATTTCTGTTTACCGAAAGTTGGCTAGAATTTGGCATTTTGCCATTTTTTATGATAAAATATAAGTGATTTCTGTTCTTCTTTATGCTTCGTTCAATTTAATTTTTTTTTAATTGCGTCAGTATTCTCGACAACAAATGATGTGTTTGCAACCTATCCAATCTCTGTTTAGCGAAAGTTGGCTAGAATTCGATATTTTGTCATTTTTCATGATAAAATGATTCTTTTGTCTGAAAATTTAGTTCAATTTTGAATTTTTTTAATTGCGTCAGTCTTCTCGAAAACCATCGATTTGTAATTTTTTATGGTAACATATAAGTGATTTCTTTTGGTATACATAGTTCAATTTTGAAATTTTTTTAATTGCGTTAGTATTCTCGACAAAAAATGATCGTGTTTACAATCTATCTAATCTCTGTTTATCGAAAGTTTGCTAGAATTCGGCATTTTGCCATTTTTCATGATAAACTATAGGTAATTTCAGTTGTTTGTAAAATTAGTCATTCTTTGAACTGTTTTTAATTGCGTCAGTATTCTCTCAAACCAGCGATTTGTTTACAATCTATCTAATGTCTGTTTATCAAAAAGTTGGCTGGAATTCCGCATTCTGTTCAATTTTGAAATATTTTTAATTGCGTCAGTATTCTGGTAAACCATCGGTTTATTTGCAATCTACCTAATTTCTCTTTAGCGAACATTGGCTAGAATTCGACGTTCAGTCATATTTCATGATATAATATAAGTGATTTCTTTGGTTTTTGGATAATTTTTTTGATTTGTGTCGGTATTCTCGAAAACCAACAACTCAATTGTTTTCTACAGTGTTTCGAGTTACATCTACATCCCTTGTTTTTTGTTCCAGAACGTAATATTCTTGAACCAGCACTTGGTCGACAATGGTTTCGCAGAATGGGTGCCGCTGGACGACGTACAACCCACTTCACAGGAGACCATCGAAGGAGCGGTAGGGGGAGCGCAAGCATGAATATAATTTCAAACCTCCCCTTCTTCCTATTATGTATTTTTTTGTGAATCCCGTAGCGGGGTTCGTTTTTTTTTATTAGTCACTTGATTAACGCCTTAATCAAGCACTTGTTAAATAATTTTTTTCTTTCCTTGTCGACGAGCAATCCTTTTTCACTTTGATCTAAATAAGTATTCATATATTTACTGATTCGATACATCTATTGTTTAATTTTCGACATTTTTGAAATGGTATTTCTTCAGGATTTACCGCGAATATGTTTAGGTAGGATTCTTTTGAATTTTTAACGTCTCAGGTGACTGCCTTTTATATTATAACAAACCAAAGATAATTTCTTTCATTTTTGTTGATATATTGTCACTTGTTGTGACGTTCGCGAGATGTGACGATCGTTTTTGCAACATACACAAGTGATAGCGCCTATTTTTTTACGTACACAAAAAGTAGCGACCTTCTTTGTGATTTGAGATATACATTCCTTTTTATTCACTAATACGAGAAAATTCGCCGTTTTAGCGATTATATTTGGACAAATTTTGCGCCTTTTTTGCGATAATAACATATTTATAATACACACGAGAAATTGTCTTTAAGGAACATATGTAGCACCTTTTTGGTATATATGTTTCCTAAACCAGTACTGGCGCCCTTTTTGTGACATACACGACACATGACGTTCTTTTTTACGACATTCCTTAAATGGTAGCGCCCATTGTTTTATAGTTACAAGAAATAAGTACATTTTTTTAGTATCTATGAGATACCATTCTTTTTAAACACAAATTCGAGAAAAAGCTTTATTTTCAAAAATCGCAAAATACATTTATTTTATTTGGCGCCCTTTTTGCCACATTAACTAGAAATTTCGATTTATAATACACGAAAAATTATGATTTTATGGAACATAAATTAACGCCTTTTTTTGTAAATAGACGTTTTTAAATGTAATAGACTTAGGTATGTTTCTTAAAGCATCATTAGCGCCCTTTTTGTGTAACCTATATGTTATTTAAGTAACAGTTTTGAGATTTAAGTGACATTTTTGTTGTAGACACGAGAGCTAATGCTAATTACGGCAGACCAAATTAGTTTTTTTTTAATTACAAAATGACGCCCCTTTTGCGAGGAAAATTGCCATTTTTGTGATTGAATCAAGGAATAACCCATTTTTAGTCATGCACAGTAAATTGAACATTTTTTGCTACAGACATTACAAATTACGTCCTTTCTTGGACAGACGATAAATCGCGCCCTTTTTTTTACACAAAAATCGTTTAATTGCGCATTTTTGTAGCAAATATGAGAGATAGGTAATACTAATTATAGCAGACTAACGTTTTTTTTTTTGCTGAAATTGCGGAAGGACGCCTTTTTTTGCGAGAAAAATGTTGTAATTTTTGTTACCGAGTTAAAAAATAATCCATTTTTAGTCACATGTACGATAAATTGCGTAATTTTTGGGACAGACGATAAATCGCGCCCTTTTTGTTGTACAAAAACAGATGAAATGCACATTTTTTGTGACTGACATGATTCATTGCGCACTTTTTGTAGCAAACCCGAGATTTATTAATTATGGCAGACAACTGTTTTTTCTGAAATTGCGGAAGGGCGCCTTTTTTGTGAGGAAAATTATGCTATTTATGTGATTGAATCAAGAAATAATTCATTTTTGGTTACATGTATGATAAAATGCGCAATTTTTGCGACAGACACTATAAATTACGTCCTCTTTGGACAGACGATAATCGCGCCCTTTTTGTTAAACAAAAACCGATTTATTGCGTATTTTTGTGACTAAACACGCATTTTTTGCGGAATGATGCATTTTTGGCGAAGAAAATGGTCCTATTTTTGTGACCGACTCAAGAAATAATCCACTTTTAGTTACATGTACGATAAATTGAGCAATTCTTGCGATATTTACTATAAATTATGCTATTTTTTTTTTTTTTGTATACTATAAATCGCGCCCTTTTTGTTATACAAAAACCAATGAACTGTCCATTTTTTGTGAGCGACACTGTATATTACGCTCCTTTTTTGGTATACAATAAATCGCTCCCTTTTTGTTATACAAAAACCAATGAATGCGCATTTTTTGTGAGCGACACTGTATATTACGCTCTTTTTTTGGTATACGATAAATCGCGCCCTTTTTGTTATACAAAACCGATGAATTGCGCATTTTTTGTGATTCGACATTATAAATTACGCTCTGGTATACTCCAAATCACGCCCTTTTTCTTATAAAAAATAACATGATACATTGCGCCCTTTTTGTGACTGACACGATACATTGCGGCCTTTTTGTGACTGACACGATACATTGCGGCCTTTTTGTGACTGACACGATACATTGCACCCTTTTTTGTGACATATACGATACATTGCGCCCGTTTTGTGACAGATACGATACATTGCGCCCTTTTTTGTAGCATACACTAATTATGGCAGACCAAATCTTTTTGGCTGAAATTGCGGAAGGGCGCCTTTTTTTGCATACTAAAAGGTGATATTTTTGTAACTGAATCAAATAATCCATTTTTAGACACATGCACGATAAATTGCGCAACTTTTGCGACATGCACTATAAATTGCGCTTTTTTGGTATACACAATAAATCGCTTCCTTTTTGTTATACAAAAACCGATGATTGGCGCATTTTTTTGAGATAGACACTATAAATTATATTCTTTTTTTTTTTGTATACTATACATCGCGCCTTTTTATTATAAAAAATAACACTATAAATTAAGCCTGTTTTGTGACAGACACGATATATTGCGCCCTTTTTGTGGCAGACCAAATGTTTATTGCTGAAATTACGGAAGAACGCCTTTTTTGCGAGGAAAATGGTGCTATTTTTGTGACTGAATCAAATAATCCTTTTTACTCACAGGTACGATAAATTGGCGCAATTTTTCGACACGCACTATAAATTACACTCCTTTTTGGTACACTAAATGCCGCCCTTTTTGTTATATATATAAAAAAAACATAAATTGTGCCCTTTTGGTGACATAGACGATACATTGCGCCCTTTTGGTAACATAGACGATACATTGCGCCCTTTTGGTGACACAAACGATACGTTTCGCCCTTTTTGTGGCAGACGCTTGTGGCAATGCTAATTATATTATTATTATTATGTTTTTTTTGCCTGCATTGATTACATTAATCTTGTATTGTAGAAAAATTACTATATAACATAAACATTGAAACAAACTTGTAAAAAGGGTTGATTTTAAATTAATTAAATCCATTAGATGTCGATTCTTGGAACAATACATACAAAAATAATGAGAATATTCAGGAGGCAATCCCATAAAAAAGTTTGTAGAACACATTTCCCTTTTAGTTTAATTTGTACAATGGAATCCTACACTAAAACAAATTCAATTAGTTCTTTAGTTTTACTCGACAACTTTTAATGTGCCAAATCTTTATTCTATCATTCATTTTATGATTAATATCGTAATTTTTTTATTTTCAACCATTAAAGTGAGAAAGGATTGAACCCGAGACGCCTATTAACCAATTATGAATTGATTGAGCAGTTAGGTTAAGTTGTTTTACTGATTTTTCTTGTCGTGTTACATAAATAAATAAAAAAAAAGAAGATGAAGCGGATGATTTATAATGTTAAATATCGATATGATTTTATATTTTATATACTTAACTTTTTAAAATTAGTTTAAAAAAGCTGTCGAAAATATATCAATATATAAATGATATTTGAGTGCCCGTTTTCTTTTTATTAGCTTTTTAAACAAGCTATTTAGGGGTCGTTTTCGTATGAGATCGTTCAAATGTCGTCTAGGGGATAGCGCAAATGATATAAAGAAATAAATTAGTAAATTATTAAGGATTATAAATGGGTTAGAAACTTGTAAATACATATATCTACTAGCAAAGAGTCGGTTACTTTGGGTTAATTTTCCTTCATTTCCAGCCAGCATTGGGCGCTGCGATGTTAACATTTATAAGTCTGTTTATTTTAACATTTTGCAGGTTTAGTGATATTTTTGACATTTAAATTACATTTTTGAGGTTGAAGTGATATTTTTATCAGTTAAGGGTCGATCTTTTCACCTCTGAGTGAAGTTACATGTCGATTTACTTGACAGATTAACAAACAATAGCCCTATAGTTTAATTGGCAAGTAGTTACTTCAACTTCACATTATTGAGGTTTATGTGACATTTTTGAAGCATTAGTGATATTTTTTGTCCCTTTACTGACATTTTTAACATTTATTTGAATTTTTTTTTTAAGTAATAATTTTTGGGATTTAAGTGAAATTTTTTTCATTCAAGTAATAATTTTTGGATTTAAATGACATTTGAGCCATTCAAGTGACATTTTTACGATTTAGGGACATATTTGTAGTTTAAATGATATTTTTGACGTTTCCATAGATTTTTGACATCTAAGTGAAATTTTGACGTTTCAGTGAAACTTTTAACTTTAAAGTGACATTTGGGTGTTTCAAGTAACATTTTTGGGAACGGAAACGTCAAAAACTAGACGGTTCCGTGATATTTTTGGCATCAAAATGTAATTTTTGAAATTTAAGTATCTATTTAATATTTTTGAGGTTTAAAGGACATATTTGCAGTTTTAATGACATTTTTATCATTTAAATGTCATATTTAACATTTAAGTAAGTAACATTTAAGTGGCATTTGTGACTCGTGACGTTTTTGACTTGACATGTTTGACGCTTCAGTAAAACTTTTGACTTGACATTTTTGGGGTTTACGTAACAATTTTGATATTAAGGTGGCAGTTTCAAAACAAATGAAATTTTTGACGTTGCCGTGATATTTTTGGCATCTAAGTGTTTAACATTTAACTATTTTTGACTTATTTTTGAGATTTAAGTAACATTTTTAAAGTTTACTTGATATTTTTGATTCTTTAGTGACATTTAAATGGCACTTAAATGGTATTTTTGACATTTAAGAGACATTTTTGATATTTAAGAGACATTTTGACATTTAAGAAACATTTTCGACATTTAAGTGACACAGTTGTCATTAAAATGAAACTTGATGTTTAAATGCTACTTTTACGTTTAAATGCCACAGTTTAAATAACACTTTAACGTCTAAATAACACTAAGTTCTAATTGACCCATTGACGTTTAAATAACACTTTGACGTCTAAGTAACACTTGAAGTTTAAAATGACGTTCAATTGAGATTTTTGACGTTTATCTGACATTTTTTACTTATAAATAACACTTTAAAACATTCAAGGGACACTTTATTTTCAAATTACATATTTGACGTTTAAATAGCACTTTGACGTTCAAATGGCACTTTTGACGTTCAAATAACACTTGCCGTTTAAATGCCATTTTGACGTTTAAATGCTACTTTGAAGTTTAAATAACAATTTGACGTCTAAATAACTTTAATTTCTAAATGGCACATTGACGTTTAAATAATACTTTGACGTTTAAATAACACTTTGACGTCTAAATAACACTTTGACGTCTAAATAACACTTGGAAGTTTTAAATGGTGTTTAAATGAGATTTTTAACGTTTAACTGACACTTTTGACTTATAAGTAACACTTAAAAACTTTTAAGGGATACTTTACTTTCAAATTACATATTTGACGTTTAAATAGCACTTTGACGTTCAAATAACACTTTTAACGTTTAAATAACACTTTTAACGTTTAAATAACACTTTTAACGTTTAAATAACACTTTTAACGTTTAAATAACACTTTTAACGTTTAAATGACACTTTTAACGGTTAAATAACACTTTTAACGTTTAAATAACACTTTTAACGTTTAAATAACACTATTGACGTTTAAATGACGTTTTATTCCCATTTTCGTCTATTCAGTAACAGTTTTGGCGTTTAATTTGATTTATTTTATTCCTTTTAGCAGCATTCGTGATTAAACCTTATAGTTAGAAATAGAATGACGTTAAATAAATAAACACGAACTTTACGTTTAATGCGACCCTTAAATGTGACATTAAATGCCGAAATGTTACGATAAATGTCAAATTATCACGTCGACTGTCATAATGTTATGTCAACTGTCAAAATG